ACGAGGGGGGGGACGGAAATGCGGGGGATGGTCCTGACATATCAAACCACAAGGGGATCGCAGGTTTTAGTCCTTCATTCCATTTACCATGGTATTACATTTGTTGGAGCCGCATCCATATTGCACTCACTTCCTGAGTTGCAGGATTTTAGGCACTTTTTGGGTTTGGTCCAATTTATGTGTAAATAACAAGTGCAAGCTTTTTGCCAATCCACTCAGGAATTGGGGATGCCCTGGCATTTTAAATTTGCAAACAGACCACATCAAGCCAGCAAACTAGGATGAAATACTGGGAATCAGAAGCTGTCCCTTGCTCCATGCAAGATTTAGGGCATCAACAGTACCGGGGGTCTCAAAGTGGGAAGAAAACTGGTTCTCAAGATTTGGCCTCACAGTGGGGAGGAGGGGCGTGTTATGGGTATGGCAAAATGGGAATTGGAGCATCAAAACACAAAACACGTGTCCTGTTTGGTATTCGGTAAGCCAACTTGAAGAGCGTTCCCTCGAGCAACACACACACCCATATTCATATTATACTATCACTTGGAGCCTACAAAGGAGTCCCCAGAACAAGATTCCTCCAAAATAATGCTTGTTTGGGTTCCATGTCAATCGCGCGAAAGGAATTACCTCACTGATGTTATTCGGAGATGCTTTACTCAAAAGTGAAGGATCCCCTCCAAAACGGTAAGTCCGGGTAAATAGAAGGGCAGCCCCCTAGAAGTCTAGCGCCCCTTTGAATCGACCACCACCAAGAAGGCTTCGCTATGATCACACAGCGACAGGTTCGAAGCGTTGACCTTGCGGTGGCCACTATAGAAGGAAACCAGGGGGAATGCAAATAGAGGTAAACATGCCCGGTTACCCTCTACGTACATTATATATAATTAGTAATGCAACTTATATTTATTTATAATTACATACATATATGTATGCATAGCGGTTATATACGTGGCCGTTCATAATTGCATGCCTAAAACTTATGAACAGCGACTTGTTGAACTGCGCGATTGGGAAAACTCGAGCCGCGAAAGGCCGGCGATTGGACCGCGAAAGGGAAACGAAGTTATTGTGAATTTGGACGCTGCATGGTGTTTAGATTGTGGTGCTGACGCACGTCTCGCTCTTTTTGTCTGCCCGGGCTCGCACAAAAGCTCCTCGTGGAAAGCTGAATGTTGTTTTCGTCTGCGCAGGCCCAGGCTGTGGTTTCTAAATCTGCTTACTGGCAAAGGCTGGAAGCTGCAAACCGAAGTTTCACCGCCGAATTCCGCGCTTGGACCGCGATTGGACGGCGATTGGACGAGTTTCAACACTGAGCCACTGCCCATCCGAGCTATGTTGCTTCCTTCAGGTATGGATGGAGAAAGGCCAGCGCATGAGATAAGACAGCGAAAAGCGAAATAGAAGCATCAGCGATGACCAACGTTGCTCCGCGATTGGACCTTGTGGGATCGCGATTGGCCGGCGATTGGGGTTGTCCCCAGACAAAGTAATTTTGTACAACACCCATATATATACACATAACATTATACATATATATATATACATATATCGGGGTACCAAAAATATACATATATTTATAGTTGCATATATATATATATATAGAGATGTATATATATGTAATAATAATAATAATAAGAATAATAATAATAATATTAATAATAATAATAATAATAATAGTAATAAGAATAGTAATAATAATAATTAGATGTATATATATATATATATATGTATTGGCGAATGCCCTTTGCATAAACACCCCCCGACACGCGGGGAAGGGTGCGGGACAAAGTGCAGGACAAAGTGCCGGACAAAATGTGCGAGACAAACTGCTGGACAAACTTGTCTGGAGGGTTGTCCGCGCACTTGGCCGAGATTTATGCTGCAAACCCCCCCTCCCACGAGAATACTTCCCTCCGAGTGATTCCCGAGTGGTTTCCGAGTGGTTTTGAGCGGGTTCCGAGGGGTTTCCAGGTGGTTTGCGAGCGGTTTGCGATTTGTTTCCGAGCGGTTTCCGAGTGGTTTCCGAGAGGAATCCGAGCGGTTTTGGCGTGTTCCGGACCTGTCCGAAGACGTGTCCGGGGGTTTGTCCCGGGCTTTTGGGCCCTCAAAGCTGTCCGGAGGGTTGTCAGGTGTTTATGCAGAACCGCCTCTGTCAATATATATATATATATATATATTATACATGTACGTATACATATATTTATATACACATATGTATATATATATACATATAGTATAGGTATATAAATATATATATATATATATGTATATACCTATATATATATGTATATATATATATATATATATGTATACATATTTGTTTGGTGGTTCCAGGTTCCTCGCTGAGGTACTCCAGCCTTCAGTCGGACCTCAGCACCAAGCTGCCGCGCCTCAAGGGCCAGGTCCGGGATCTGCAGCGGCGCGCCCAGCGCGCGAGGCGCGGTGGGGTCGGTGGGGTCGGTGCGGGGGGTGGTGGGGGGGTGGGGGGGGAAGGGGGGGAGGGGGAGGGAGAGGGGGAGGGTGTATGTTTTTTGCAGTTCCTGTTTTTTGTGCTTCGTTTGCTTTGTTTTTAGATGAGAGGGGAGGGGGAGAGAGAGGGGGCGGTGGTTGATCGGTGTCTGCCTTGTTTGGGGGTCAGGGCTTCTCAAAATACGGGTGGCTCGAAATTCTTGGGGATCTGGACCCCCCCCCAAAACAAAACAACATCGGTTATCGTTTTGGTTCCCCCCTAAAACCAAAGGGGGGTTCTGTAAGAGTCCGAACCTCGGCGCAAAATGGGGGAGCTTTGTTCCTGGCCACTGGGGAATTATGCACTGAACAATCAAAACAGGGGATTTGTCTCCGTTTCGTGTTCCTGAGCCTGGTGAAGGATTCACTGATGGAACCAACAGCCTGCCCCACTTTGGGGGAGAAAAATAAACCCACGCTGAAGCCAAACTGAAGCGATCCTACCGTAATACCAATTGATTTTGCGGTGATGCAGCTAAGCAAAAGCACATCCTTTTGGTTCGAAGTCCTTTTGGGGAAAGAACCCCCCGACCCAAATGTTCCATCGTCCAGAACATCTGGAAAAGGTACCAACCCCCCCCCCCCCCCTCCCCCCCCCGTTTTGAGGGGTTGCGTGGCCCGTTTTTTTGCATGGGGGACTTTGCAACTGAGAGACTCAGAGAGTGGGACATGGAGGCATGAGCTGGACTCCCTCTGCTTCGAGATCAACACCAACACCAGGCGCCTGGTGCACGCGGGTGGGAGTTTGGGAGGGGGGGGAGGGGGGGGGACAGACGGTTTTTTTGGGGGGCAGGGGGTGAGCGGGGGTTGGAGGGGCAGCCAAAAGGATTTTGGTGGTCCCTAGAAATCATATTCTCAAGGCACAAAAGCTTCCGAGAAGTAACATAGGTTGTCAGGACTTTTGGTCCGCTACCACAAAGCGACTTGCCAGGGCCTATATTGGGGGCCCAGATTTGATCAGAAGCCTTAGGGTAGTCAAAGCTTAGGGTAGTCATGGTGCCCAAATGGAGGGGTATACATACGGAGCTCACCACCAATATTGTCTTTATCGTTTTGTTTTTTTAGTCACTGTTTCGTTTTTTGGGCTAAAGTGGATGGAAAAAAACAGCAACTGGCGATCCAGGAAGGGTTCTTTTGTTCTGGTTACCCAGCACTTCACACGAACAGTACTTAGTGCAGATCCCCATGCGCGGCCCACGCAGAAGCGTCGCTTTCCGCAGGATCGGGAAGACCACTGAGTGGAACCGGGAGACGCTGAAGAGCCGAGTGGTTCGGATTGAGCGTCGAGGGGAAGAGCCGCTTGGCAGCCGTGGTGTCGGATTTTGGCAACAGTAACCCCCCCACCAGCGATTCCATGGAAATGCACAGACCCCTCTAGCAAGACTACTTTCCTCTTGGAACGGGCCTTTTTGCACTTCCTTGTTAGTTGGTGGGAGGGTTATATACCAGAAGGGTGGTCATCCAAGTAGATGACAGGACATATATACGTTCTGTCACCTACTTGGCTGACCAACCCTTGGGTAAGTGGTGAACGTGCGCAGTTAAGAATATGTTTGTTTCACCTGGATTGTATGCAGGAGAAATCAGACATTCGAGGGACTTTCTATGTGGACATACAATTACGGTAGCAAAGCGCAAAACATTGGGCATGCTCACCGGATGGAGGTCAGTAGGTACGAGCGTGTCTCACATGAGGTTAGTTCCAAATTTCTCGAGTGGAAGCGAGAAGGGGGGACGAATGGGGACGAGCTCTAAATTTCCCCATTGGTTCCCCGTTGGGCTCTGAGTGGTTCATGTTTGTGACTGCTACGGGATCGGACCCAGAGTTCTGATTGCCCCAGCAAAAAAGGCAAACTGGGGTCTCAAGAAAACTCTGACGATATGCTAGGATTCCCCCCTAAGTTTGATCCATTGAATTGCAGCTGAGGCGGTACAACTCAATTCGCTTGGCTGTGCGCGGTGTTTGCGTGTTTCCCTTGCCTAGGGGCTCCAAAATCTAATCATTTGGGGTCTTTGAGGGTCAGACGTCTCAATCCAGGGTGGGTCCCTGTAATTGTTGAGACTGACTTCAAGAGTTCTGAACATATTGTGATTTCTCATGAGCCAACACCGTCTCAGTGGTCCAGGTATTGACCGACGTACGGGTCAAGTATGGTGGCGTTGTGTTTTCTGTCCATACGGGTTGGGCCAGAGCAATGGCGCTTTCTGGGAATATGTAGTTGAACAAATACGCGCTGTATACGGCCAACCAGGGCCACCGGCCAGAAAACAAATACCATACAGGAAGTCAATCCAAACACGGGTTCCGTGCAAAAAAAACCGGCCAGATGGCTTTCCAGCCAGGTTTTGCGGGGTCTGCTATGGTGTGAAAAGCCGTTGCATCGGCCGCGTCACTCGCTTCCGCAACTTTTTCGGCCCAGCACGTCCCAGCACCCGCGCCCCATCACGAGCGCCTGCACGCAAGCGACGTGACCTGGCGCGGCGACGTCATGGAGGAAAAGAGTTATAGCGCGGGTTCGCCCGTGAAGTTTCTTTCAGGCCCGGTTTTCCCGTGACAGCCTGCTGAGGGTATTTGTTGCATGTTGTATCTCTAATGGAACGTGTATGGTGAGGGTTAGGCTGTGGCAAAACGGCAAGTGGGCTGTTGCAAAAAGTTCTCGTAGGGATGGTTTGGAGCCCATTGTCGACTGCCAAAGGAATGATGCTGGAGTTTGCTGGAGTTGGCCGGGAAGTGTCTTTCAATATGTTGTTGTGTTTTCTTCACTCGTCCCAGACACTGCATGCAGTCTATATGATCCTGCATTTGAACATTCCATATAGTTCACACTGACATATGTCCACACAAGATGGTTTGCATGGAGTGCATTTCAAAACGATGACACACGAAGGGAAGGATCCAGGGCCACCAAGCAGACGGGGAAAGGGGGGGCCTTGTTAGCATCTCCGAGCGCCACGGGTAATGGAGACTCCTACCAATTTTTGACCCCCAGCCATATGGGTCAAAGGGGGTCTGTTTGCCACCTTTGGTGGAAAAATGATCGACCCCCTTGTAGTGAAGGATTCCTTTTTGAAGGGGTCGCCAATCTTCTCACAAAAGGTGGCAAAAAGACCCTCCTGTATGGGTCACCATGTCACCCCCCAAACGAGCCAAGCCGAGTCCGCCTCGCTCTCGTGAGGGCTCCCTGACATCGAGTACCCCTCGCCCATCAGCGTGCGCAACACCTTCCTCACCACCGAGCCGGACAGGCGCGCAACGAGCGCCATCGCGCGCGCAGCGAGCGCGATCGAAAACTTCCGGTGGTCTTTGGTTCATTTGCGGAAATGGAACTCCCTGAACTTGCCAAGGACTTACTCGGAAAACAAATCATGGTTTCTATGGTTCACATTCAAGGTACCCTTGTCAGGTTGGCTCAAAGGGCAGCCAAAGGAAGGACACACTTTTTGCCCAGATCACTGTGACACATATTGAGTTGTTGTTGCAGGAAACTGATAGACCATGACAAGATGATTTGCTGGTTCCTGTGTTTTGACCAATGGCTCATCCCCATCACCCTGACACAGCCTCCCATCCACTAGACTTGAACCCTGGGGATGATTTGGACCGTGTCTATTTGCAAGGGACCGAGCCTCCGATTCGACAGGAATTGCCGCCTTTCGGTTTCCTTTTGAACAAACATACGGACTTTAGTACCCCCCAATCCAGCTTCACTTGGCATGATTTTGGGCTCCCTTGGCAGATCCTTAGGGATTTTGCCATGTAATCTTCCATTTGCTTAAGAATATTTGTTATTTTCCCTTGTTGGTTTTAAAAGGAGTTTATCGCTACTGGACTTTTTTTTTAAAGAACAAACTTGTTTTTTTCCAGGGGTCTTAACCAAATGGAAGTAATGCTCACGTATTTCGGATGGGACGGGATGCATATCCCCACCCCCTTCAAAATGGAATTGGGGGAGGGGGATGACCCCTGGAGATCTCCATTTATGGTGTCATTTTGCCTTTTGTGGGGAAGAGTAAATAGATGGAATTGGGGAACCCCGGACCCCTCCCCCCTAAGGTGGGGATGGGATGCGCGTTTTCCGCGCCTGCGCCTCGGAAGCGTGCGGCAGGCCGCCCTCCATCGACGAGTTCTACCAGGAGCGCGGCTTCCGCTCGGCGCCGGGCAGTGCCTTTGGCATGCCGCCGGGCCTCGAGGAGGACGGCGCACGCGGTTGTTGGGGCGTGTGTGTGTGTGTGTGTGTGTGTGTGCGTTTTTGTTGTTTTTTTTGGTTTTTTTTTTTTCTCTAAGAAAAAACATACAAGAAAAAACATACAACTATATATATATATATACATATGCTTTTGTTTACTATTTATGTTATGTGTTTTGTTTAATATGCTTTTGTTTCCTTTGTTTCTTTTTATTTTTTCGAGTTTGGTCCCGCAACACACACAGAGAGAGACGTTGGGGACACCCTTCCGGAAGTTCCAAAACCTGCCATGCCCGTTTGGCTCATAGTGGAAGGTCCTTAGCCCGAACGGCTGAGGGTGGAATGGAGGCCCCGACACAACACGGAAGACCATGTTTTCCCTCGCAAAGGGGACCTGAGCACTTCCATGTTCTCACTTGCCCAAAACGAGTTGACCTTGTGACCTTTGAATTGCCCTTGTTTGGTCAATTCTTGGTCTTGGCCCCAATCGGTTAGACTTGTATTTTTGGATGCTTTGGGAGTTACTGAATGTTTGGGTGCACCCTTTTGATGGCTCAATGTGGGTCAAAATAGAAAACCTAAAGGACCAAAGGTCGGGAATGGAATTACGACCAATAGCATGGTCAACCCAAAAAGGATGGCCCCAGTAATTCTACCAGGGTCTTTGGTTGCAACTGACTGCGATGAGTATGTGTATAGTTGGGATCGATGAACGCCTATCAATACTGGGAGAAACCATTTCCTGGCGGATTCTGCAACTATTCACAGCAGAAGAGCTGTACACCGGCAAGTGGTTGTGGTAAGAAGGTTTGTGGTGAATAACCCCCTGTTCCATCGGTCATAGATTTTCGTAGACCGATGGACCAAGAAGACAGCACCAGAACTGTAGACCTGCAAGTCGTTGTGGCAAGAAGGTTTGTGGCTAATAACCCACCGTTCCGATCACAAATATATAGTTTCTTTTGTTTCTCGGGGGCCAATGGACCTTGAAGACAGCGCCAGGATGAGTCGAAAGCTTCACAGAAAGGGCCCTCGCAGCCTGGCTCCATGCTGCCAATGCCATCCAGCCACCCAGCCGCAAGCGACACCGAGCTCGGCTGATCAGCGACTCCGCGCTTGGGCCAACGAAAACCCCCAACCACTCACCAACCACTAGAGCGTGAGCCTGGAAATGAGCCACTTGCTCAAAACTGATTCGGGCAGGAGGTTAAGGGAGCATCACTGCCATGAATCAATGGGTGCCTTGGCCGCCTTTTGGGATTCTTTACATGGCTTGGGATTCTTTACATGGCTTTGGGTACACCGTTTTACCGGGTTTTGAGTGTGACTCAAATAAACATGGAGACCAGCACAGAAGTCTCGTTTTCGCCTATGTATGCAAGAACATAGAGATGTGAGTGCACGGGGTCCTGAAAGACCACCGTCACCTGAGAAACACTCACCCCGTTGGAAGATCATTTCCGCAGTTCATGGAAAAGAAACCTTCTTTCGTTGGTGGGAGCCCACAGGCATGCCTCCCGTTGGCGGAATCCAACCTTTTGGGTGGATGTAAAGAGAACCCGCAAGGAAGCTGCCTTTCACTTTGGCACACACAGCGATCTTTTTGAGCGAGCGTGCTTCTCTATGTGCCCCAGTCCAAAATCCAACACTTCAACATCTTGGGCTGTAAGTCAGTTTCCTTTAAACGTTGGAAATCCAAAAAAAAAAAGAACGGACCTTTGCGGCAAGGAAATGAGAGGGGTTATCCAAATTGACGAAGACATGTCCACGGACCAAGATTGGCCACGGACCATGAGCGGGGAGAACTTGGAGGACCGAAAGATGTGCGGAAAAGTTTCCGTTTGTTGAGGTTGTTGAGACGAACCAAACCCAAGGGGAGACAAGAAAGGAACCCCATGTTTTTTTTGGCCCATCTTGAGACTTCAGTTTCAGATTTTGGGTGATTTTGAAGTACTGGAGAGTTTGGGCATTTTTAAGTACTTTAGGTGATTTTGAAGTACGGCTTTTTCAAGAGTTTGGAGTCTTTCTCTTGGCAAGCTTGTGGTTCTTGAAAAGGCGGTAGGATGATGAAGAGAGAGCCATGCCTCGCTCGCTTCTCTCGCTCTCCATCTCCTCCCATCCCTCACGGCCTATAAATGGAGATGCGTGGATGAGTATGAGAGTGATTGTTAGCGAGGGAAATAGATGTAATGCCTGGCGAAGATAACCCTTGCTCCATTACTCAGGGTTGGGGGCATCTCTTCCATCACTCTCTTCACTCATCTCTCCGCTCTATTAGCGTGCTATCTGGAGATCAGTGAGTGATGGGACCATGGGAAAGTCGCCAAACGAAGAGATCTCAAAGCAATCCTTTGACAGGCTATTCCTAATGGTTGGATCCTGGAAAAGAATAATGTCATTCATATCACATCCCATAATTACCTGTTCCCTATACATCCATAATTATCAACACCATTTAAAAAGAAAATGTCTACTTTAGGAAGTCATATGTCTTTTTGTCTCTTCCTCCATCACACCCTTATCCTTATCGACCTCTCGTTCCAGAGAAGATCCTATATCCTGTTCCCATCCTGGATGTAGGGCTCGCATGCGATGGATGTAATATGATAGGCTCGGTTGTGTCGGGTATTCGGTCGCCCTGGCTGAACGTGAGGTGCAACCATATTTTCTGACTCCCAGAGGGTCCAACTCTTTTGTCGATTCACCATTTTGTCCTCATGTTAAAGGTCAAAAGGAGGCTCTATAGGCGAGTTCCAACACGTGGGTGCTTGATGGCTGGCTTCTAAAGAACAACAAATGCCCAATGGGTAATCATGACCACACATGTCTCAAAGGTGAAAGGGAGACTCGCATTGGTGTTCAAAGGAAAATGTACTGGTGAACCAGCAATGTGTGGGTCCCTATTTACTTTCCCCCATTCAAAGCTGGGAGAAGGATCATTCCAGCCCCCTGAAGGTGCCTTTTGCAAATTGTTATCTATATATATTAATATATATTGTATATGGCATATATCAGAGTTGAGTTCATCGTGCTGTGAAGGCCTAGATGGTGTTTACGGGTCTTGTTGGGCCCGAACTGAGGTTTAAATGTCGGCGCCGGGATTAGGGTTTGCTCTTTGCTGGTGGGCGCTATTTGGATAGTGAAGTCAGCTAAGTGGTAAGTATTACCCGTTTAACCCCCATACTGCCCATACCCTTACTAATTAGTTTGGTATTCATTTAGCTAGCCTTCTGACCCCCAAAAGCCAGGGCAAGCACCCCTTCACACACCCCGGCCTCCACGCATGTGTGGGTTCATCAATATTCCCCCAATGCTGGGTAACTTTTCCCATTTCGGGGGAGCATCATGTTTCCCACCCAAGGGTCGTCCCATTTTGCATGACCCCCACCAACTGGCGAGGACTTTCTGAGCGCCGTGGGCCTCGCAGAAGTCACCGACGTGGCCGGGCACTCGCCCTCCTTCGCGCAGATGCCCCCGCCCCCGCCCAGCCAAAAGGCGCCGAGCCAAGGGAAGCCACCAGCCGCCCGTCGCGCGTCGCCCGTCGCGCGTCGCGAGTCGCCCGTCGCGCGCGAGCCTAGGGAGTTGGGTTCGTTTTCGGAGCGCCGAGGTTTTGGTGTGGTTGTTTTTTTTTCTCCATGCTGCGGTGTCTGGCTGGGTTGGTGATTGGCCGAGCTTTTTGCCCGACAGCCGGAAATGCTTTCGGAGGGTTGCAGAGGGTTCCGGGTCACCTAGGCTTTTTCTTTTAGGGAACCACCTTTTGGTACGACATGAATCCCCACCTTAATGATGTCCGCCAAAGGGGCCCCGGTTGAAATCCACCCATGTTTGAAGGTGGGGCCCACGGTGGGGCTGCTTTCACTTCAACAAATGAGGTACCCACCATGGCGACTTTGGCCCTCCAGTGGGTTCCATTTTCCTTGTTGAACTTGGGACGCCATGAACTGCAGCCGTGGAAGTCCACAGGGGGTCTGAATGTGGCCGAGAAACAGAGCCCAATTGGCTGACCAACCGAGCACCCAGCTAGCCAGGTGTTTCATCAGATTCAGCAAAAGGGGGGGCACCCCCGTTTTTCTAAAGGGTTTCGCCACGCATGTTGTTTTTGGTCGCCTAGCTTCGGCACCTGGAGTCTCCATGACCCTTAAACAAAATGGGGTCATGACCCGAAACAAATGGGGTCCTTACCCCATTTTTCAAGGGTCATGGGGTCGCACAGGCAGACTGAGCCGTCGTTTTCGGGGTGCCAGGCGCCCACCTTCGGGCCCGGGCCGGAAGGCCCGGCCTTCGGGCCGCCGCCTGGACGGGAGGCAGCGGAGGTGCCTGTGCCGGTGAAGCTGGCGCAGGCGAGGCGAAGATGTTAACCAGGTCCCCCAGCTAGGTGCCGTTTCTTTTACCGCTTCTTTTTTTGGGGAGGGTTCCTCTACTAAAATAGACTACCGAAAAAGGGGTACCCGTATTCTAACCTCTGTACTGGAGAACCTAGTTTTGGTCGTTTTAGTCGCAAGAAGAAAACCCCGACTTTGCTTAAGACGATGTTTTCTATTTCCCCTGGTTGGCTTTAGAGGGAATTGATCACTTCTGGAAACATATTTTTTCCAGGGGGCTTAAGCAAATGGAAGCCGGAGGAAACATGACAGCATAGCTCTGCCCTATTCTCATAGAGCTCACCTGCATGGGCTGAAGAAACAACCCCGCGCCTTTTCGTTGTGTAAGGGGCCGTCCCTTAATGTGTTTCGCAGGCCAAAACCATTGTAAGCCGATACTGAGGAAAAAAAACGATACTCTCAGAAGCCATGAACACACACATCAGGTCCAAGTTGTTGTCGCAGACCAAGATTGCGGAATCATAAATTTGCAGGGCCCAGACCGATACCCAAACCGATACCCAACCGATACCCAACTCATCAGCCGCCATGCCGAATCCAACCAGCTGCTCTGCAGCCTTCCCTGGAGCTGACAAAATGTACTTTGTGTACTACACTTGTACTGACAAGTTGCGACTTTCCAGGTGGAGCTGCCAAAGTGTACTACGTGTACCAGACTTCTAAGTACTGAAAAGTTGCGACGTTTGAGCCGGAGCTGGCAGAGTGCACTTCGTATACTACACTTGTACGGAAAAGTCGCAACTTTCGAGCTAGAGCTGCCAAAGCACCGTAAGCCCATGCAGAGGAGAAAAACCGATACTAACCGACACCAGGGCATGGGGATATAAGGGTTGTTCACGGGGTTGTTTTTTCAACCCACTTGGGGGTATAACGAGTTCACCGTGGCAAAAGGTCCTTTAAGTGGGGATCCCTAAATTCAGCTTATCGAATTATACTCGTTTTGTCGCAAGCAAACCCGGCGTAGGAAACATGACTGCAGACAGTAGTGAAGGTGTGGTTAGAAATAGATGGGCTCCAATGGGATTTAGGCTGGTTTTGCTTCAATTATCCGGGAACGTCATCTATTTGTCCAAAAGGCCACCTATGAATGAACGATGCTTCTGCGGTTGCACCATCGACAACGTGCCCCTTTGGAGTCTTATTATTTTGGACTCGAGTTTGGGAGGATGTCCCTGCGATTCCGTGAAAACCACCCTGTCAAAACATGCTCAAGAGGCTCCCCGTACTCGGGGATGGTCGACGGGGGTCGTCAACTTGGCTCTAAGGATCCTTACCATTGCAATGATTGCTGTTGAGGAACCATGACCATGGGCTATAGGAGTTTTGACCTTGACTCATGTCTTTTTTGAGGCTCGGCACCCCGTTTGGAGTGGGTTGTTCTAGGTAAGCCAAAAGGAAACGGTCCTCTTTCTTAGTACCCATTTCGGGGATGCAAGGGAAACCAAAAGAAAACCCTATCTTGAGACAACATGCTTGAGTCATGGTGTATTGGTTTGGAGCTGTTCTTTTTCGGGAAGCAAAGGGACACCGACATCTAATTCTTGTGGATACCATGTTTGTTTTTTTCACTTTTTCTGTTCTTCTTTTATTTCTTCGGGGTAGTTCAACCGGGTTTAGGCACCCAACTCCTTTTCGGGAAGCCCAACAAAACAGCGAAATCGGGGGTCTCATTGAAAAACAACAGCCCAGGACATCTCCAGCAGCCCCTGGAGCCCTGTTTTCAGCTTCCACCCAGCTGAGAGCTGATTTGGGCGCACCCCAAAACTAGGTCCCCCAGTAGTGCCCTTTTACCAACTTTTTTGGGGGAGGGTTCCCCTACTAGAATAGACTACAGAAAAAAGGGTACCCTTATTCTAACCTCTCTACTGGAGGGAATAGAAACGCAAATCCCTGGGTGGAGAGGTTCGATTTAAAGAAAGCCGGCAAAACTGGCATTGGATTTGCGCAGCTTTCAGTGAGACAAAAAAGGAAAACAACGGGACATGGGACACGGGGAGAGCCTGCCATCGGATTTCTCTCCGCCGTGACACGAGGTACTGCAGGACTTGGAGCCGGAGCTGGGAACGCCTGAGGCGCCCACGGAAGGCTCCAGGAACCACCGCCTCGGCACCTCGGATTCGACGCCTCGACTCGGCGTCGTTTCGGGAAAAGGGGGGGGGAAGCCGGGGGGCTTGGGGAGAAAGGGCTTGGGGCAAAACGAAGGGCCAAAAAGGACACTTGTTGTTTGTTTGTTTTTGTTTTTTCTCAGTGGTGCTCAAAAGGAAAGATGTAGTAGTTGTTTCTTGTTTTTTTGGGGGGAGGGTGCTTGTAGATACCCCTATTTGTGACTTCCCTCTGAGCATATGAAGCCAGAAGGCCTGAGAGGGGTAGCTACCCCCTTGTAAAGTGAGATGGAAACCAGGGGAAGGGGGGTATGATCAAGGGGTAGGTACTTCCACCCTGAGACAAAAGAGTGAAAGGAAAGCCTAAGAGGAGGACCAATGAGGAAAAAGGGAGAACCAAGGAGGAAAGCGAATAGGGCGTCAACAAACAAGGAAAGCCGACGGTTTCAAAAGGAAAGCCGACGGTTTCAAAAGGAAAACCCTGGTATGTGTGAGTTCATTCAAGATTCGGACAGATGCTTGACTAAAGGAAAGTGTTGGGTCCCCAAAGGGAATCCAGCATCTGGAAGAAAGTCATACGCGTCTTGGTTCCATACAAAATAAAACAATGTGTTGTTCCTTGGTTTTCCTTCATAACCTACAAAAATACCCTCCCACCAATTAACATGGAACCTGACCAGGGGTTATTTTAGAAGGAAAATGGTCTTCCATGACCCGCCTGTTAGGTCACTGATGAAGCTCGTGTGGATTTTGCGAACCGAGGCACCTGCCGACCCTGCGCCTTCTTTCACACCAAGGGCTGCGCCAGCGGCACCAGCTGCGAGTTCTGCCGCTTCGAACTTGGGTGGGGTTGTGCTTGTGTGTTCGCTTGGTGTGGAAGTGGGTGTGCTCTTTGTTCCATGTTGCTTGGATGTTAGGACTTTAACTTTTTGCCAACTAATAGGTTTTCCATGAAATCACTAAAAGGTACACTTTAGCAGGGGAGCAGAAAGCAACCAAGTGCTTGTGGGTGACGGGTGGTGGTGGTGGTTCCTAGAACAGGACGGACCCGCATGAACCTCTTCGTTGGTTTTCGTCCTGGGTGGCAGCAGCAAATATTGACAGCACTTCAAGCACCCATTTGGGCGAAGGAGCAGCCTTTTGCAGGGTTGCCCCGGGCGTTTTGTCAAAAGACGCTCGGGGGGAGCATTGGTTTGGCTTTTCGAGCAGCCCTGGAGATTCACAAAGAGCCGCAACCAAGCCCGTCTCACTCCCTGAGTTCCGTTTCGGACTTCATGCTTTCTGTCTGGACTTTATACTTTTTGGGAAGGCCGTTTTGGTGGTAAACAACAAGTGTGGACATTTTCCAGCCAATCCATAGCTGGAACCGGAGTAGACGTGTTGCGGGAAGAAAGGAGCACGGAAAGATACGGAAAGACCCACTACCAACTCTTGTACCCTTGTGGTTTGGTCATCTTTTTGGGGCTTCTAGTTACTTCCCCCTTTCCCTAATATGCTTCTTTCCGGACAATTCTGAAGTACCCAATACTCAATTTAGAATACGCCTACTCCAAACCGATACGAAACTATTGATGTTGTATATAGCGATGTTTCCTTCCGACCGCAAATCCACACGTACTTGCGGCCCTTTAGAACCAGCTCTAAACCAGTACTAAACCAATACCAAACCAAGTCGAAACACAGAAATCCGATCAATGACGCTGAGATCTATTGCTTGAGCTTCTTTCTCGGAAACTTGCGCCTTCTTTTTGCTTCTTTCTCGGGCCTGGAACGGGTGATCCCCATTGAAAATTTGGGGAAGGCTCGAGGGCGAACCGGAGCTCGCCCCAATATGTTTTCCCCAGCCGAATTGGGGGGGGGGTGAGGAACCTTTAGAGGGACCGGACTAGGTTTCCAGAAGTTGACTCACTGGTTCTTTGCACGTGGTTTCTCAGGGTATCCCAGTGCTTTCAGTCATAGGAACCGTCATGTAAACGAGGTCAAGGTCAAGCCCTGGCTAGGGCTTGCCCTGCCCTGCGATATTTGTTGAGAAATACATGCCGTCGGGTTACCTATCCTAGTGATTGCATTTCCCCTAGGAATCTCACGGACCTCTTTCGAAACGATGACACTAACTGCCTGGAACCTGAAACTCCCCATAAAATGAGGAGATTGCCCTAAACATACAGGGTGAAAGCCGTATGGACAGGAAAAAACCTCTCATTTTTTGGCTTCCAGTTGGTTTCCCCCATTTTTCGCGATGCCCATGGTTGGAAGCACCGAGTAGGGCTTGCCCTCCCCTTGTTTTTAAACATCACCCGTTTTGGGCCGTTTGAAAAGCCTTTTGGTTTCTGGGCTTCAGGTCTTTCCGCACCCAGGCCACCTGTGCGACGCCGGGGAGAAGAAGCGCCGGGCGCGCCAGCGTGCGATGCTGCGGAAGGGCGCTGAGGACTCGCCCGAAGAACCGACCCAGCCACCCGTGCCCTGTGTCTTTTTGTAGGTGGCTTCGGTTTTTCCCTGGTGGTTTCCCTTTAAAGCCATATGGAGAAAAAAAGGTGCCCTCAACAAAACGATACGCAATTGGAGTGGGTCGCCTTTTGAGCTGCATTGTTGAATCTGTTCGACGTGGCTACATGGGGCCGAGCTCGCTGGGTCAAAGATAAGAACGATTCCACAAATGATGAAGGATCTTCGCTCGCGGATCCAATTCGCTCGCTTCCGGCGTGGACTGATTGCAAAATGTGCAGATCAGTTTGGTCGGCTGGGAGGCGGCGAGTGTTTGGTGCGTGGGCCGGTTGGTCTGCTCCCTTTCAACAGGCTCATGTCCACCCAGATGAGATCATAAGCCACGGGGCTTAGCTTGGCTCGGATTCGAATGAGGTGACCCCGATCTGACCCATCCGAGTTGGCTTCCTAGGACATCCCCAAAACCGGTTCATCCCGTTGCAACACCCGGAAGGGTCATTCCCGGCCTACCAGCAAGTTTACAAGCAAAGTGAGGCGGCCTTTGTTTCGGCGTTTCGGACCCCATGAACACCCCGGACGATGAACTGATGTCCAGTCTGTCCCTCTTGAGGGTGTTCCTCGTGTTGAATTGGTCGCCTGGACAAGGAACAAGGCCGGCGCAGATGGAACCCATCCGCTTGCGTTGAGGAGCAAAAGAGTCCCCTGGCAGTTGGCCTGGTACAATTCCAGGGCTACGGGCCGCAGTACGTCTTGCCGGGCATGTGCCTCGGTTTTGCTGGTGTCAACCTGGCCACATGTTTGAGAAAGACTGCGTCATCCTGTGGACATACGCACCACTTTGGAACCATGGGAAACCCATTGTTTGTCGGTATTTACAGGGGAATCATCATTCCAGGGTTTGTTTGGGTGGTGCAGGATTTCGTCCATCCACAGTATTTACCTTGAAGCCTCTCTTTTTGGTATGCGTCAGGACCCAAGAGGTGTGTGTGTGTGCCGTGGGTCGCACAGGAAGTATCACTATGTCTAATTAGTGGGGTGAGTTTAAGTGTACATGTGCTTTCACGCTCGCGTGCCCTCGCAAGTGCGCCCGTTCATGTGAGGCCGGGGGTCTTCACTCAAATGCAAGGCAAGTAGCATGGATCATATGAGTTCGACTAGGCAACCACCTCCTTTGCGATTGAACAGACATTCTCATGTGAACAATGTTCACCAAAGGGTCCCCAAGCATAAAATTCATACCCACCTTGCATTGTGCAGTTGACGTGGACTCAGGTGGGGATGAGTGGAAAAAGATCGGCTGGACTTTGTAGACGCAGTTGCGACCTGCGAGAAAACCGGCAGCGCCGAGAACCCAAGTTCCTTTGGTGGCTGCTGGTTCCTCTTGAATCAGGGGGCGCGTTCAACGGGTTGAAACAAACATGTTCCTATATGGGTTAGGACAATCGTGTGTGGATCACGTCCGAAAGGAAACGTTTGTATCCATTCAATGGGTCACCCAATTGAAGCACTTGTTCCACAGGTTTTTCCCAAATTTGACAACTCAGAGCTTATAGCTTCCACATGACGTTCAGCCACCAATTTGCCTTACTTGGGACTTGTTACCCGACCAACCTACCAATATATAGTATCACAGAAGGGGCAAATCAGTCGTCCACCGTGGCTTTTCTGGTTTTGTGCGCTGCCCTTCCTTGCTCACTGCCTACCTTCAGGGAGCATTGGCTGCTGGAGATGCTTTCCGGAGCCAAGCCAAAGCGCCGGACGGTCCGTTTCTTGTTCTCGGCGTGCCTTCCTCATGTCTAATCCTTCTTTCCAGGACAAAAATCAAGGGAAAACGTCTCTGAAAAGCTTGGTGATCGACCCTAGAATTGTGGATATTTTATGTTGCCTTCCTTTAGCACTAGAATCCAGAGAACCGCCCTGTGAGAAGCACAGCCAATGCTCCAGGATTTCTGTACCCCGGAGCCCAAGACCCATACAGAGGCCGCGAAGGACCCCCCCAAAAAGAATGAGGTCCTGGGCGAGGGGTGAGTAGTTGCGCATGCAGTCTTTAGCCTGGCGACTCGTAGACAGAAGCGACTGAAAACTTTTCAAGCGGCCGTGCCAATTTCACCTGAGGCACTGCCATTTGGGCGCTTCTCAAAATGGCAGAGCTCGCTAAAGAGCAGAATTGTGGTCGAAGAGGTCTCCGACTTCTGTACCAGGAATCAAGAAGCCTCGTCGGCAGCTCCCGCATCACTTTAGGACGGCGTTTGGTTCGACATTTGGCTCCATCGCATGGTTTTGGTTTGTTAAACATGACGAAGGATCAAACCCTTGGGCTGGGCTTGAAAATGAATCAACCTGGAGTCTCCATGACCCTCAAACAATGGGGTCATGACCCAAAATAAAGGTGTCAGTATCCCATTTGTTAAGGGTCATGGAGACTCCAGGAAGTCAACGGAGGCCATCAAGAAACCAAAGACTCGGTCTGTAATTTTGAGTTGCGCCGATTTATCTGATGGAAGGGCGCTTGCTGACAAAGCTCAGCTCACACATGCCTTGTTGCTCCCTATGCTTTGTACGGTAGCTTCACGGCAACACGCGACAGCACATACCCCTCTGCGAACTAACATGGAATCCAAAAGGGGAGCGCCCGCTCATTCACTGACTTTTTGGGGTCTCCTTTCGATCTGTAAGGCTCGGATTCTTGGCACAAATCCAGTGAAGCGGGCCGCTCCTCCTTGAATGACCCAGGTCTCCTTTTGGATAGGCTCGCAGTTCGTCGGGAGAGTTCCCTCTGAAGAAAGTTAACCCTGAAGAGAGTTCCTTTTTGGTGTCTCGGCCCAAATGCCATTCATCTCCGGCCCGCCCAGCCAGGGCTCGGCGACCTCTCTGCTAGAAGCGTCGGGCGTCCACAAAACGGTGGTGGTTTTGCAGGGCTGCGTGTGTGGTTTTGGTGCGCACGCCACTCTGGGGAGGCTCCACTGCAGTCGCCATGGCAAACTGGACGACGCAATTGGTCTTGTGCCAAGCGGGAGTGGAGGCCTTGTCCTTCAACCCTGCTTTGGTGCGGACGTGGCTTAGTGTTCTTTTCAGCTCCCATAACCGGCTTCGATCCGGGACTACTTCCTCTCCATGGCAATTTTGCATGTACATGTAAGCTGCAGCTACGCATTTTGCGCTGGATGTTGTGGCGTCCTTGTCAATGCTGGGTGCAATTCTTGGTCCTTCCCAAGAGCAGCTTGCATGGGATGGTGTATGCCACTCTTTCATCGTCTTGTCCTCATCGTACAGCTTCAGTGCGCAGTGTTATGGACCTTGGCGTGCTGACTACGAACCTCGTGGCAGTGGCAGTCCTTTTCCCTTGTTGTCCGTGCTGATCTTTGTTTGCCTTATTCCCACGTGCAGGCGTGGCCTTTCTTCGGAAGTTGCGTATCGCATTCTGCCCTTGGGCGGATGGCCAAGTTTTTCGTTGCCGGGGTTGTGGGGGAGGTCGGCTTTCCCGATGGTATTGGATTTGCTGCCTGCTTTCATGGCGGGTCGTCACGGGTGTGGTGGGGTGAGGGTCACCTTGAGCTTGCACCTGCTGATTCTCTTGCTGCGCTTGGTCGGTTGCTGGCAGTGCAGGATGGACTCCATGGAGTGCTCTTTGCTGGTGCTTCTCTGCAGTTTCCGCCTTGGCTGCAGGTTTGTATAGTTTTGCTTGCCCGTTTTGCACAGTTGGCCTCTGCAAGTGCTGCCCGCTGGGGATTGCTCGCCTGTGGCTATCTGTGGCACTTTTTTTGCCGCCGTGTGTGGGCACTTTTTTTGCCGCCGTGTGTGGGCCTCACGTGCCGAAGTGCCGTGCCGGCTGCCCATCATGTCTCACGAGACGCGCGGGCATCGAGGAAGAAGAGAGTTTTTTTGCCCACCTCTATCTGAATGTGAAGGTTTGACCCAAAGACCTCATATCAGAAGGTGTTGGGTCCCTAGGCCTGACGGGTCGCTGGGCTTATGCAAAACTCTGTTGGGAGGGACAAGTTATGCGGCCTGAGCTGTAGGATGCGGCCGAAGCTCCTGCGAGAGTTGCGAGTCAAAAGAGGCGCTTCCAAATATGGGGGGGAGTGTAGCCCAACTTCTCAAAGGGTGCCAACCCCCTTGGTCGCAAGTCAGCCTGACTCGTTCAAGCAAGTTTGTGTTTTCAGAGGCGACTCTTTCGGATGGCAAAGGGAAATGGCCAAAAGCTGCATCAGATATTCACCGTGTTGTCCAGGTATGCACATTTGCCCAATGGTACAGAAATGCGTGATGCGGTAAAGTGAATTGGTCCACATTGTCGGGATCCAATTGGCGAGGAATTGCGGATTTAGAAAGCAAGTCCTATCGAATACAAGCACTATAGGCCGTGTAAAAGGGCGGGCAGTGGACGGCATGAGGGCAACACCGCCTTTTGTTCCAGGCCACCTTGGTTTCCAACTGAGAGATCAAACGAAACAATGGTGCCCATTTTGCAGAGAGACCCAGTGCAATGACCACTGCAGCAGCAGACCATTGAGTTTGTCCTTTACCTTGAATTTGTCCGGAACTTTGTTTATCGTTTTGCGATTCGATTCGTGTTTTTGTTACACGAGCGAAAGCCATGATTCATCCGGGAATCCGATTCTCATGTCAGGTCGAATTGCATCATATTGCATCGTTTTCAGATGTGTTCGCTAAACATCTCATTTTTGCCTTTAGACCTCAGCTTCCAGGTTCCCTATATTCCCCCAATTGGAAGTCCGCTTGCCAGATTCCAATGAACTTCGATCGACGTGTTTGTGTAAGAAGCTGGGTTGGTCCCAGACAGTCGGATCATCATCTCCCTTTCGGTCAAAATCCGAGTGTTGATTTGAGTTGCCATTTCGGGTTGCAAGCGCAAGGTGAAGACAAGGGGAAAACAGAATCCATCAAACTTGGCCGCCTAGTTTCACACATGTGATGCCTTAAATTGGGGCGGGTTATGTGGTAGGTCCATTGCGGGTTTCATTGGGCACAGTTCGGCCGTGGCTTACCTCATGAACCATTGATCGTTTCGGCACCCTTGTCCATGGGATTGTCCCTGATTTGTAGGGCCTTTAAATTTGGCTCCTTAGATCGGGGGACTTCCAAAAGAGCCCATCTTTCGGCTTGCCTTTTTGTCTCACCGGCCAGCCAAGGCATTTCCAGGGCCACCCCTACCTGAAGTGGACGGAGGCCCATGCGATGAAGGCTGGAGTTCGGCGAGGGTCGAGAAACATCACTGAGGCAGAGGCATCCCCCCCCCCCCGGACGTGCGGGAATTCGGAGCCCCCACTTCTCTCGCGGATGTTGATTTGCCCCAGAAGGAAACCAATGATGGGTTGGATTTGTTTGATTTGTTCAGTCCCCTCCCCCAGTGATCTTGCAAAGGATGGGCCTTTTCTTTTCTTGACGGACTCTCCAAAGCATGCAGGGTGAAGGGGTTTATCTTATGCATTAACTGTTTTGCCCATGTCTCGAAAGGGAAATGCAAGTCTTTCTACACATGCTCAACTATCATATCGTTCCGCATCCCCTCACGTAGTCCAGCTTTGTAGTTTTGTCTTGGTGACCTTTTGCCATTTAAGCAGACACATGAGTGAAAGAGAACATTTCAGCCCACCAAGACCTTCAAAAGATAGGCCTCGAGGCGGGTTGGAAGGGCGGCTGCAAAGTCCCGGCAACCGACTCATGAAGTTTTAGGATTGCCATCTACCGCAGCATGGCAGTTTTGTTTTTGATGGCTGTTGCGGGATTGGTGTTGCACCAATATTGGCCGTGCCTGCTGCTTCTGACAGGAGTTGTCGATGAGGATCCAGGAACGCATATTAGCATGCTGTTGGACGGTTCCGGCATTGCGTGAACGATGTATATACGAACATACATACATACGTGCATGCATGCATACATTAATTATGTTGCATGTCATGTCTTTTCATCACATGACACTACACTGCATTACATTACATCACAACACATCGCATTACATTGTATTGTTTTATTACATCACATCACATGACATTACATTACAATACATCACATTGCATCACATTATACTACATTGCATTACGTACACACATGACAGACAATCATACATTACATACATTTCATAGATGCATGCATGCATGGCACACTAATATACTGCATACATACCGAACTACCTACGTACCTACCTACGGACCTACCTACCTGGTGCACAGCCTGCCTACCTACCTAATTACCTACCTAAGTGCCTTCCAACCGACCGACCTGCTCACATACTTACCTACATACCCACCTGCCAAACTACATACCTACCTATTGTCTACCCAACCCACCTCACATGCCAACCTACCTAACCTACCCACCTCACACACACACACACACAGGTACACATGTGTGTGTGTGTGCATGCACGCAGAGATAGATACAAATTGACCATATCCGTCCAAGTGCAGAGTGAAGCGGTTTGAAATGCCTTGTGCAAGTGCGGGCATTTGTTTTTCGTATTAGAAACTCTCATTGCGCGTCATGGTTGTGAGAAGCAGAGTTGGGCCCATTTCTGACCAAGAAATACCCTTTACACTGACCGAGCCTATGGTCCTTATCATGTAAAGTACAGTGATTGTACTGTGGATGGGCGAAATCCTGCACTCTTGACACCATGGTTGAAACCATGGTTGGTATTTACGGGCAAAACAAATCATCATAGGGTTTCTGAACGGTGCGGTATTGATAGAGAAGATGGTTTTTGGAGATGGTTCTTGGTGGCTCCCAGCCATCCCCTCAGCTTTTTAGCCTTTCAGTGTTTAATGGTAGTTTTCATTTAGCCCACTCAAACTTCAACTTTTAGCGGGGGATCGGAAAACGGGCAGCCAGGGTTTTGGGGCTCAGCCTTGCTCCAGGCGGTGCTTCAACATGCGGGGGTGGTGGCGGAGGTGAGTCGGGCGCCCCAGTCTCCACTTTTGGATGCGACCCCAGATCTTTGGACTTCGATTTGTCAATTCCCCTGAACTCCACCTAACTTCAAGCTTCCCTACATCAACCCTAAACCCACCTTAAACCTACCCTAAGCCGACAAGCCAGTCCTGATGCTCCAAACTGACTCTACAGCAACGCTAAACCCACCCAACCCTGAGTTTAAACACCAATTCTAAACCCAATCCGAAACACCAACCCTTGACCCACCCTACACCACAAGCCCTAATAACCACTGTAAAAACAACCCTAAACCAGGCCGAATCCCACCCCCAAATCCACCTTCACCCAAACCCGTAAGTATTACGCGAAGCCAATCTACAGCGGGTTGGGGTTAAAACCGATGCTAGTAGCATTGAACCGATTCTAGTAGTCTTGATGTTAGTGCAACATGCCGATACTGCATTGTGGCACCCCCGGAAAAAGAATCAAACACACATCCCGAAATAAAGACCACCAATCCGTAATCAAGCTTCACCCATTGCGGGTTCTTTTCCTTGGGAACTTCGGGTTAATTCAGCGTTGTACCAAGAATGGGGACCTTTTTTTCCAGGGGACACTGGATGTTTGGGAGAAGGACCACGTTTAACTTTTCTCCAAGCTGAACTGGGATAAACCATGTTGTCAGAAAGGGGAGGGGTGTTTCCTCAAAAATGAGCTGAGTGATTCCATTTCCCGACGACTAAAAGGACACTTGCTGTTTATATGCAGCGGTCACTAAGATCCACTGCTCCGCTGGTCTCGGGGCAGAAACGCATACCCCATGTTCTTGGGTTTTAATCCCACTTTAGGAGCTTACAAGCACACCGAACCGAACCAAAAGGAGTCTTTGGAAGCAAGACCTCCCTGTGGATGAACAAAATCCATTTCGCACCACTTTGAAACCATGGGACACTGCTTGTTGTATGTACAGGATAATCATCATTCCAGGGTTTCTTAGCAGTGGTGCAGGAAGTCGTCCACTCACAATGTCTCCTGGATGTGTGTCAAAGAGCAGGGGGACACCCAAAATGCCGCTTACCCTTTTGATTTCCCTCACCTAAAAGTTCTTCACGTTGTCCTTCTAGTTTTCCAAACCTCAAATGGTGGCATGTTCCTGTTGATTTCCTTAAACTCTTCATGTTTCCCTTGTTGATTCCCGCAACAGGGTGGTGTCCCTTGGGTTTTTGTTGGGGTTCAGCTACCCCCAAAAACCGACCCCCCACGGCCCTCCCGGTGCTGGTGCCGGGCTCTTCCGAGGCGTGCCGGTGCCGCGGGAGGCGGATGAGCCCAAGGACGGGCGCAGGCGGCGCTTCTCGGAGCGCGCCTCGGGACTCGTTGAACGCGTTGACGGCGTTTTCCGTTGAACGAAACATCCCCACCGGGCCCCTTCAAAATGGAATTGGGGGAGGGGAATTGGTGACCTCTGCAGATCTCCATTTGTGGTGTCATTTCCCCTTTTGTGGGGAAGAGTAAATGGAATTGGGGGACCCGCCACCCCCCTCCTTTTTAAGGTAGTGGGGATCCTGAAACTACCCACCCAGAGGCTCCAATTCGATTGACTTAGGGCCTTGAAACAACCCGGTTTTTAGACCGGGTCCCAACCACCGATTCCCGGGGTGTCTAATGGAGGGGTCGGGTCTTCCGTTGCAAGCCCCAGGAGTTACAAGCTGGTCACAAGCTATGCCTCCATTTTGGGGCGGATGAACACCCATGTACCACCTATTTTGATGTTCACCGGGGGTACAGGGTTTTGACCCGAAAATTATGGCTGTGGTTGTCAAAACCATTGGGATCCCATTTTGGGGTAGGTGAATTCACCACCCATTTTAGAACCAATTGTACTGATAATTGGGATGTTCACTGGGGGTACGATTTGGATTTTGAACCATGGCCAAATGTTGGGTATTGCAACCCCAAAATTTTCGTTGGTGAATTCAGTTCCCCCTTTTTAAATGGCAGTTTGAGGGTCCAGGTCGTACAAAACATATCCAAAAGCCACCTATTTGGGGAGTCATTGCCCATGTTTGAGGGATGTTTGACGGTGGCGGCTGGTTTGCGCTTTGATCTTTGTCACTTTCTCACTTTTTGATTTCCGAAGATTGAAGGTTCAGAAAGGATAGAACCTTATTCCACGTCCTCTGGGCAAGTGAGGCGGGTGTTGAGGGATGAGCCAGTTTGAGGGTTTGGAACCTGCATGTGTTTTACCACAAAAGAGCGGATCGCAGACGAGCAAGCGGGAGGTTTATTTCCCCACGCATCACCCCAAAAATATGAGCACAAGCAAGTCATTGGGAACCGTTTTGTGGACAATTATGGTGGATATTTATGTCCACCAACCATTTGGGGATGCATTCCCCATTGTTTGTGTTGTTTTGGCCAAATGAGTCTCAACTTAGGGAACCCCCAAAATGGGCTGTTTTTCTTTGATTCCCTTTCAACCAACCCGGCAAAGGGTACCGTCCAAAAGGCATACCCAATATTTGGTTGTTTTGAGTTGGCTGAGGCAATCCTTAGGTGGTGGTTTGGATTGGTGGTTTAAGGGTTTGAACTTCCCCGGTTCTTGCGGTAAATGCGAACCCCTCTGCCCTTTGAACCATCAATGCAAACCACCAAGTAGAGGGACGCTGTTTGTCTCCGCTTCTTTCGAAGCTGTTCTTGCTTGAGTTGAAATGGATGCGTCTTTTTCTGGACTTAGACCCCATCTCTGGATGTTTGTTTTGTTTCTTTGTGTGTTGGTTCACCTCACCCCTCATTAGTGGTTGGAGTGGTTTGGAGGTTGGGGAGAGGAACTCCGGGTTCAAATCCCAACGCCACCGGTCCAAACCAGCAACTAGGGAGAAGCGGATTGGTACCCCTTGTTTGAAGTCGGTTTGGGGTCATTTGTTGAGTTGGTACCCATTGTTTCCGGGAATTGCCCTTATTGGATTCAAACCGGACCTGAAATGTGTGTGTGTGTGTGTTTGTGTCCTGCTTTGGGCTTGGTACTTTTTTGTCGGGGACTTCAAATGAGACTTTGTTGACGCATACTTGTTCAAACGAGACTTAGAACATTTCCCTTTCGCTTTCACCCCCAGATTGCACGATTCGAGTACCGGTGAATCGCCCCTTGGACCACCTGCAAACAAGTGGCTTTTCCATTACACACGCAGAAGGTGATCGACCTGTTGGGAAGATCAACCCAGCGGGGGGACTGATGTTTTAGTCCGCCATGGGGGCTTGATTCTCCAGGTGGATGGTACAGGTAGAATATTTTGACGGGATTGGCAACTTATATTGGTTCCGTGAAAAAAAAAAACCACTTGAGTGGCGGCACTATGTCAGTCCCCAGGGCCCAGGTTTTGGACCGCCGCTTCCACGCCATTTAATTACCAAGCCAAGAGTTGGCCGTAGTTTCAGGGTGGCCATCGTTCAAAACCGTTTTGGGATCCCATTTTGGGATGGAATTCACCACCCATTTTAGCATATTTCAGGGAGTTGATGTTCACTGGGACGATTGTGATCCGCGCCCCTGGCTCCGGTAAAAACCGCGCCGAGGATTGGTCACCGGAAGCTGCGCCAAAGTGATCTTCGCAGGCCAGCCGCTGGCCGAAAAGCGGGCGCGGGTATCTATATATATATATATATCTATATGTAGATGGTAGTTTCATGGTTCATTGCCTGAGTCCGTTTTGTGTGATTGATTGAAGCATGCTGTTTGACACTGCTTTTTACCTCGAAGCAACTGCGATGGGGAAATGTGGAATATAATCTTTTCCAGGGCATACATCCAGGCTTGTATTGGCATCAAGGAATACTGACATCCATGAACAACCCTGGATACTGATAGTTTATGATAGTTGCCTGTATCACTGAGTAAATGTGTTGCGCGCATGGTGAACAGTGTTTTTGGGCATTGTGCTTCGATTGGGTTTAGAATCAAGGATACGCTGACTGTCTGGGCCAAAGGTCCCAAGGGCTTGTTGCTTGCACATTGCTTCCGTCCGAATTCCGGCCGCCAAATTCCCCCTTCTGCATTTGAAGGTTGTTTCTCGAAATCCGAGCATTTGTGGAGCTGCGTATGTGTGAACTTGCCATGCCTCCGGTTGCACCTTCGTTTGTTCGTTACCAGCTGCGGTTCCCAGTTGCACTCAGCATGTCAATGAGGGCAAGCCAGGTTCACAAAAAACCATTCCACAGCTGGGAATTGTCACCCTTCGCCAAGAGGTCCTATTGAGAGTCCGAGCTTCAAGGAACCCGCACCGGAACAGAGCGCATCCAGCCCTGAATACGAAACTGAGTCTTCGTCAGGGCGTCTATGCAGCTTATCGTGACAAGGACCGTCCCACCTGTTTGGTGTCCTTCCACAGAGCTACAGCAGACGTGGTGCCATTACTTATTGATGCCTGCCAGCATAGAACAGTGGTTGGTATCTTTGTTGGAAGGTCACATAGCTTTTGCAGATTGGGGAATTGGTGTTATGTGTGCTTACTTGTGGTCTCCTACTGCTAATTTGTGGTAGTATTGCCGGGGCATTCAATATGCAGTCTGTCAGATCCAGAAACATGATGACATCACGCGCCAAAACAACGCATGAGACTCCTGGTTCCACAATTAAATCCATCGAAAAGAGATATCAGTTTTGTTTCCACCAGTCGATGTCGGCTTTGTCGCGATCTCTGCTATAAGCACAAAGCATGGCACAAGTGTTTTCCCCACGCTCATGTTTCTTGCAGTTTA